GGAAAAACGAATTTATACCACTTAAGTTTATCTCTTTTGAATTGATGTCATGTCTTTAAATCTTCATCAAGTGAGGGTGCCAACATGTTGGTATTGATCTTTTCACTTGAGCATAGCCATCTTGAGCACATGACTTGATTCCATTCATCAAATATGAATAACTCCAAATGCATCAAGTCACTTCCAACACTTTATCCAATATAGATTTGATCCTCCACATCAATATGACCATTATAGCTTGATTAGTACCTCAACTAAATGCAAGTACTTTCTTCTTCACCCTAGCTAGGTTCTTCGGCCACCAAGCCATCGCTTGCCCTTCACCCTTGCTTAGTACCTCGAAGCCTTTCCTTGCTATCTTCACCATCTCAAGCCATCAAGTCACATCTTGTGTTGAATCATCCATTCATTTGTATTGTTATCTTTTTCATTTCAATTTAGCAAGCTTCAAATATAAGACCATTCCATATGCAATCCCTCATGTCTCATCAACTAATTTTTATGGGTCTTGCTTTCACATAGTACATAGAAATCTCACAATAAATAAGCCTTTGCATGAACTCTATTTGCATTGTTGTCTTATGCTTGAACTAGATTGTTTATACAACAACACATCATTTTGGCTTTCATTAAGTACATGTGACATAACCTATTACCTGTTACACTTAGCAAACGGGTTAGACCTTTAATCACGTTGTCATTCAATAATCCAAAACCTACTAAAGGGATAGATGCACTTTCACACCCCCAATTGCTTGACCCACGGCAGGCGAGGTAAGCAGGGCACCCCGCGCAGGCTCTGAGCCGGCACCCCCTGACGGGCTCGTAGGGCCCTCGCTCAAACTCCCCTCGCGCAGCACTCCGATCTACCGACACTCGGCCCCAAAGCCAAGCACCCTGACCAAGAGATCGAGTGCCCCAAGAAGAGCATCCGACCCTCTTTGGTAGAGGCTACCGCCACGACAATCGACCCAATCATAGAAGATTGTGCTCAGCCCCTCGTCGCCATCACGGACTCGACCTAAAAGGCCACGAAGGGCTCAGGGGCTCTTGATGAAAGTCAAACATAGGGGTATGTTAAGTCCGAGAGAGAGAGAGACTCTCGATCGGTAGAGCCCCCGACCGATCCCTCCAGGATCACTCATGGGCTATACCCATCGGGTACGCTTGCACATGCACATACCCTCCGGTACGAGTTAGGCAGAGCCCGGGCACGCCCATGGCCTCTGCTCAGGGCTCAGGAAGCTCGCCAAGGCCCTAGGCTCCCGACCGACAGCAACCCAAGCCTTACCCTAGCTCAATCCTAGCCCGAACTAGCACTTGGGCCAGCGATCGATGTCCCAAGCGTCAGCCAACCCACCGAACATCCAGTCGCCCCAATAGGCTTGGGGGCTCCACGGCACCGGCCTGATCAACGGGTGTGAGGCGCTGTCGACCACTCCCTCGACAAGGTCATGCAAATGGTGTGACACTATAGGACAAACTACCTCACCGAGCCGGAGCGCCTTCACCACCAAGGAAGCCTCGAGAAGGTTCACTCGATGGAGGCCAAACCGCAGTAGATAGCCCCAGGCAGTCAAGCGTCAGGGCCTCAATGATGTCAGGTGGCGCCCACGGCTCCCCTAACTCCACAACAACACCAAGGTCCATCCACGCCGTAGCTGCACCCTCCTAGACTTCGGCGCACGAAGACCATAGACCGTAGCCCCAAAACTGCCTTGTACCCACCTTCCTCAGGATATAAGGGGAAGGTCGTGAAAGGATCAAGATGCCCAAGAGGGGGGTGAATTGGGCTACTTCTAAATTTCTTTGCAATAATAAAACCCTACGGTTAGCCCAATTAACCCCTTGTGCCTAGAAAGTGTTTCTATTGATCTATCGCATAAAAGTTTAGCAACCTATGTTCCAATCCTACTATAGCATGGCAATTCTATGAATGTAAATGACAAGAATTGAATTGCTCAAGGTAAATGCTCAAAGTAAAGAGAGAAGGAGGAACGCGGCGATGTTTTGCCGAGGTATCGGGGAGTCGCCACTCCCCACTAGTCCTCGTTGGATCACCCGCGCAAGGATCAAGTGCTCTCTACGGTTGATTCTTCGACACTCCGTTGCGGTGAATCACCCACAACCGCTCACAACTTGAGTTGGGTCATCCACAAGCTCCGTCGGATGATCACCAATCTCCCAATCACCACCAAGCCATCTAGGTAATGGCAATCACCAAGAGTAACAAGCACGAACTCTCACTTGACCACAACAAGCCTAATGAGAAGGGTGGATGCACACTTGGCTACTCTTGATCTCACTAATGAGGGCTCTCTTTGGGATTCTCAAATCTCAATCACCTCACTAGAACCTTGCTCTTCTTGGCACTCTCAAAGGTGTTTCTCAACTGTTGGAATGAGCAAAAGTACCCCCTCACACGAATGAAGAAGTATTTATAACCTGGGTTGAAAAACGAACCGTTATGTGCCTCTGCGGGATGACCGGATGCTCCGGTCAGTTCTCCCCGAACTCTAGTGTTAAAGTAGTGACCGGATGCGTCCGGTCGTGATTTTCCCTCTCTAGAACCTTACTAGAGTCGACCGGACGCTGGCACCCAGCGTCCGGTCGCTCACCTCTCAGCGTCCGGTCGCACCAGACGAAATCACCTTGATCAAATGAACTGACCGGACTCTGCGCCAGCGTCCGGTCACCTGGAACCAGCGTCCGGTCAGCATTTGACTCTCCATTCACTTGCAACTCTCAATCATACGTGAATGAAGTTTGTTCCAATGGATCTAATGGATTTTTAGGAGCTACCTAGTGCTAGATTTAGCAAGTGTGCACCACACCTAACCCACTAGACTCACCTAGGTCAAGCTACTCGTCCATACCCCCCTTAATAGTACGGCCAAAGGAAAATAAAGTCATAAACTACTCTAAGTGTCTCTTCAACACCAAACGACACTTAGAACTAGTCCATCATTAACCTTGTCGTCCATCCTTTAAAAACTGAAATGATTTTCATCGTAGGGGCATGACCACCATGATTGCCCAATCGATCTCCATTACCATGACCTAACTTAATTGCCTCTGCAAAACACACGTTAGTCATAGTAATTACGTATTGTCATTAATCACCGAACCCCAACTAGGGGCCTAGATGCTTTCAAGTCGGCACCCGTAGGAGGGGGGCTGAGCGATCTGAGTTCAGTCGAACACCGAGCAACCGAGAGGAAATAGTAGAGTGTTCCTCCCCTGGCAACACAGCAAGAGAGAGGAGCGATTCCCTTACTCGCTGGGGAAGAAACCTCATCACCGACGAGCTGTAGGATAGCACCAAGCGATTCCCGACCAAATCTCTTTCTCCTTCGTTGTAACCCCCGATTTGGGTGCTCTTGAATACGAAGAACTACTCACTGCTGGACGTAGGGCCTCGATAGCCCAAACTAGGATACATCGCCGTGTCTTCTCTCGTGTTCTTGAGTCCACCGGAGCCACCGGAGACCCACACTTCTGACATGCGACAAACAACGATGCTTGCTACGGTGACGAACCTGCGACACCCAGCGAATCGTATGGTGGTGTCTGTGTCTGTAGACTTTTTCCAATGGCTAGCATGGACTTCACAAAACCATATATATGTTCTTTCCGTAGCTCATTTGGAGCTGCTCTTTCACCCTAGACGTCCAGCATATATTGAGATGGTTTGTGAAATGTGAGAGAGCCATCCAAGCCTATATTGCTTCTTATGAGAGTGTGCCTTGAGTGCATCTGGTGTTCTTGTCTTGGCTTTCATTTAGGTGTTGGGTGAAGACTTGTTACTCTTGCTGTTTGCTGGCACCTAGATGGCCCAGCGGAAGACTAGATGACCTTCTCTATAGATTTTCTTGTGGGGGAGGTTCCTATTGGTGTTCACTATTTGAGGCCTGCCATTCCAGAGTGGAAAATGAGAATTCAACACTGAAGACTTGAGACTTCATGATTCAAGAGAGCAAAACCGAGTCTCTGTTTCTCTTCAGTGCTCCAACATGAATTGGGAGCAGTGGCGGATATAAGGCTAGGGCCAGTATGGCCATGGCCCTAGGCGTGAGAAAAAACACTAGAGTAATCCCTTTGTTTTTTCACCTAAATCTATATACTAGCATTACTTTTGTCCATTAGCATGTGATCTGATGTTAGTGGTTCATAATATTGGCCCTAGTCGCGAAAGTTCCCTAGCTCCGCCACTGATTGGGAGAGCTATGGCAACAACTCGATACCACAGGGGAAAATTAAATATGGTTGTCTGTTTGTCTCTTTACTTCTTGCATTACTTTCTTGTCTTAGCTTAGTTCAATGGTGTGGCAACTAGGATTGCATGCTAGAGTGTGCTTAATGATTGGTTTACTTTCCATATCTAAGGACCATTTCTCTTAGTGTGAATCTTGTTGATGATATGTTTAGTATGATGGTCGTAAGGACTTATTAGAGTGGTATTTTTAGTCTTATGTGTCACTGTGTAAGTGGATGAAGTAGTTTTTGTATAGACTAAGATTATCGCGGTTTAATTTTTTACGGACCAAGTAGCTGGCAAATCAAAATTGGAACTAGCTCAATTCGCAGAATCACGAGCCTTTACACAATTCGCCTCTGCTCTAGATAAAACAGTCAGAATCAATTAGCAAGGGGTCGACGATCACGGGAATTGCTCAAACAATCCCAATCAAACCCTCTCCCAGTCGGTACTCACGGTTGTTAATAATTTCTATAAAAAAAGAAACTAGTTGAAGGTAAAAGGTTTGATTTTGAATAAAGCAGAAATGACAAACATAAACCCTGGTACATTCAGGGCCGCTGCTGGCTTTTATTCATTCATTCATGTATCCGTATCAATATACATATCCATTCCTAAGTTGAACACGTACGTACGTCGTGCTGTAACACGCAACAGCTGCCAAGCAGCAGCCAAACGACGACGGCGGCAGCATGGCCCGGGCGTATATAGGGGATATATAACAAGTTTGGTGTGTGATGCATCAAGGTCTCATGCGGCAGCAACCGTCTGTGCAGCAGGTCGGGTCTTGTTCACACTCTCTTCTGTCAGCGCAGCACATGCAGTAGACCTGGTCGGCGGCCGTGAGTACTGTCGTAAATAAACAAACAAAATCAGCTAGCGTCGAAACCAAAAGAAAATGCATGGTGAAGAAACACCCGACTACTTACTGTTTTTCAATGTAGTAGTAAATTCTTTCATATGCATGCATGCTATAAAAGATCAATTAATTACCGTTGGGGTGGAGGGCGGCCATGAAGAAGAGCATGGCCACGGCCCAGATGAAGAGCACAAGGATCGCCCTCCTCGTCTTGCTGGCACTGGCAGCCATGTCCGGAGGTCGAGCTACGAGAGACCGTATGTGTGCTTGCTGCTGCTGGGATTCCCTGCTATGGTATCCCTCTCGCGTGCATTTACATATTTATAGGCCGAGCATCAGTTTCACTTTCATACGTGTGCGGCGATCGAAACTAATTACCTACAGGTCCAAACAGGTTGCTGCTACATATGCATACGTATTTCCTTAAGCTCGGTCATCGACGGCTAAACCAATGCCGGCCGGACGTCGTTAATGATGGGCCAAATCCGATCGATGGCAGATGATAAACCTTCCTCGATACATCCCCCGCTAGTGGCAGGCGCCGGGCGGTGGTAAATCGATTTCATATTGGTTTTGTCATTGACGCGGATTCAGTTCACACACCAACAAGAGGCTGTTGATCACCCGAGGCCACACATGGTTAAGACAGGCAGTGAAGGAAGGCCAGCATGCCGGCTATGCAGTTCCGACCCTCGTCCTTTTGCCAGAAAAGCCAGCGAACACCTCCTGAGAAGACACATCATCAGTGACGATCACAACGAGCGAGAGTATCTTAGGATCGGCATGACAACGAACACCGACAAATCTCGTGGAGAAAGTTTTGAACAACAAGCAGGGGCGGATCTAAAGGAGGGCTGGGGGGCTCCAGCCCCCTCTACAGCTGATGAATTAATGGAAATATGGGATGGGTGAGGGAGAAGAAGAGAGAGGAAAGAAGAAAAATAGAGAGAGAGGAAGAAGAAGAGATCAGCCCCCCTTTAATCATGTTATGTATCCACCACTGACAACGAGGGGTTAGAAAAGCTTGAGGTATACCAAAGGGTTGCAAAAGCTGGCTCAAGAAGCTGGCCCGGGCCAGTTTTGCGTGTTGGCAGACCGTGAATAGCCTTGGGACGGTTTTTGCATGATTTGCCCAAAATTGCTATTTTGAACCCAGTTTTATCCAAATTTAGTTTCTTTGATCTAAGGGCTTGTGGTGTGGTTGGTGTCGTAGGCCCTGCTTGCTTCGTGTCGTCGTTTGCCACGCCTCACCTTCAACAAACTGTGGTTATCATAAAAAAGTGTAGTGAGTAAAATCGAAGCCACACTTGTGTCAAAGTTTGGTATAAAAGATGAGTCTATAACGTGTGGAATAGGGTGCTAAGAAAGTGTGGCGCGCTATAGTTGTGGACAATGAACCAAACAGTTGCCGAAAAAAACATAACATAACTAACCTTTGTCTCGCGGATCATATTTTGCTATCAACGAGTATATAGGTAGAAAAAGGAGAAAATGTTTGGCAAACGGAGCGGTGATCTCAGCGTGATGTTCGACATTTGCTATAGCAAAGTGAACTATTGAAAATTAGAATTTATTTGTTTCTGTAACACTATGATCCTGGCCATTTCGGGGCCAAAGTGCAGCGACGACCATAATTGTCAAAGGTTGGAAAAAACGGAGCATATCTAGGTGTTTGGTTTGAGGACCCACTCAATCCTAAATGAGGCAGTACATCATGAGTTCTTTCCTCAAATTTAGTGAAATAACTATATTTCCCGTACTAGTATTAATTATTAGCTCGTAGGGAATGAGGAAAGGGTAAGAAATGAGTAGACGATGAACCATCTTATTCCTCGACCCCTAACACACCCAGTTTTGTAATCCGCAGTGTCCGGTTTTGGCAAGTCCGACATGGTTTTGTAAGAATTTCAACTTTTTAACGGAATTAACACATTAGCATGCTTCATCCTCGCTCTCTAATGTGTTCCAGCGTCAGCATACTTTTCCACCACTTTGCTAGGGAAGCCATGGCTACTTTTCTTTCGATAATACAAAGTTATAAACCTTGCAAATGCTGTGCTTTTTGTTTTTTCGATACACAAGACTTGCAAATAACCACATTGTGAGGCAAGCAAGCAGTACTGGTACTCCAACAAAGGTACAAAACCATATGTAGCTCAGTCGCTCAGCAAACGAAGGCAAGAAGCCAAGAACCAATCCCAATGTTTCGTTTGTCTCTGACATAGTTAAAAAAAAAATTCTGACAGCAAGTCGACGACCGATTATGTGACTCACGCATGATCACAATCGATCACATGTATACACCACTGTTGTCAGAACAAACAGTCTAAATGCCCTTGCCAGAAAACTCAAGCCCGGATTGGATGTTATTGTTAACCACGCATTTGCATTGCCACGAATCATCAGAACCCAAAGGCGCCAGCAATCCGGAGCTCAGTCACTACTCCACTCGCTACCCTACCCTCTGCTGTCAGGACCCAGAAATTACAGTCACAATTGCCCTGGGGAGGAAAGGAACTCAAACAAAAGAAACAGAAGGTACCTCGTCTGAACAACAAACTTCTTCCAGCCTTAGCTGTTCCGGCGAAGCAAAACCATACAGAACAGGAGGTTCAGGCCCTTCTCGAGATCTGGCATGCCGCTCGCTCGCTCGCTGGCAAAATGCTTCAAAGCAAGCCCACCGCGCTCTGGGAGTTGCATTGCATTCTTCACTCCTCGATGCTGTTCTTTGCGTTCCGCTGCTGGATGGCATAATGTCTCTGCAGCTCTCGGAGCCTCTCCAGAAGCTCTTGGAACGATGGCCGTTGCTGTGGGTCGCTGCTCACAGCAAGGGAAATCGTTAGCAGGAATAGTTAAGTATAGTACTGAGGTTCATTAGTCTGAAAATCTATCCTTTCCTAAAAGCAGTACAAACAGAAGGAATAAACAGTAAGTACCTTTCCCAACAGCTCAGGATAATTGATTTCCATTGAGGATCTACTTCACTTGGGATATCCAACCTTTGGTTCATAAAACCTACTGCACCAATGACCTACATAGACACACACCCTTGACAGTTAATATACAGGGATTGTCAAAACTATGAAGATAAGCATTATCTTAAAAGAATTACTGGGTAAAAGTGTGCTCCGCAAAACCCTGAAATTTGAGTAGTTATAATTTTCAAGTAACCAGTTATACTAGCAGTCGCAATCTAAACGGGGGAAAAAAAAAAAAAAAAAACTAGAAGCAGTCAGCAAGCCCATCATCTCAGTAGACAACCCGAAATGAGAAAATAACTCCATTATCATTGCTTGCTTCAAATTTCATTACTTTGTTATTACTCTTAATTATTTTATCCTTGTTTAGAATTTGCTGCAACATATGCCCGTAAGCTCACAGTATCATGGTCACAAGTTGTAAGCAAATGTATGGTCAAACTCAGAGATTAATAACTAACACAAAACATACAACAGGAATGTACCTGCATCGAGTTCAGATTTTCCCAGGGTATCTTCTGAGTAACAAGTTCCCACAGGATAACCCCATAACTATACACATCAGACCTACATTAGCACCATAAAGAAAATATTAGTACATATACAGAGGTGATAAGAGGAACTTCCTTCGACTAAAATTGTCCACAGCTTACTTCTCATCAGAAGGTTCATTGCGCAACACCTCTGGCGCCATCCATTGTGGCTGGATAGGAAAGCCACATCGAATAAGTTAAACAGAAAATAACGCAGGGCAAAGCTTTAAACCAATCACATTTGATACATCTCAAATTAAGCTTGCTTGAACTTACTGTCCCTTTTCCCGTTTTTGTTGTCAAGAAAGTTTCACGCTTGAGACGTGAAAGACCAAAGTCTGCCACCTGATTGAGTCAGAAGAAATGAGAAGAGGCAAGCAGGGAAATACAAAATATTTGGAAAACAAATAAATTCCAATGTTACCTTCACAGTCCAGTTCTTGTCGACCAACAGATTAGATGATTTTAAATCTCGATGAATGATAGGTGGGCTGGAATGGTGAAGATAATTCATGCCCCTTGCCTGTATAAATACAAAACAATGACTAAGGGATTGCAGTATACATAGACCCAATGAAGAAAATTTTGCTAGAGAATTGGCAGTTCCTTGTTCAAATATGAAGCACGAACTGGCTGGCCCCAAACTATTCACTGAATCATGTGAATAATGGAGTCATAATACCAGGAAAAAAATGCACTTACAATATCTAAAGCCATGTGAACACGTCGTCTCACATCCAACTTGGTAGCGCTCTTTTGAAGTAAGCGAAACAAGCTTCCACTGCATTTGAAAAGACAGGATGAAAAATAGGGAAATGAACCATAAAAGAAAGGTGTTTTGGTTCTTGACGGTGTTTTGAACATGCAACCAAACCAAACAAAGCAAAAGGATCTCATAGATCAGCTGTCATACATCACCATTCACCCATGAAGAATACTCCCTCAGATTCAAAATATATGACAACTGGGGCACCGGCATAGTCTACAAGGTGACACTTGGACTAACAATTTCTATGAAAATATGATCTCCAATAAACAAAATTAAATATTATGAAAGTAATTTTCGTGATAAATCTAGCAACATCTTACATAGTCAATCTACGTAATCCTTTACATATCCATGGTCAATCTCAAAAAAGTTTGATCTGAAGGAATCATAAACGGCATATATTTTGAAGTTTGAACCAGGGAGAGTATCGCCTAGGTTAGACATTATGGTTTTCTATTTCTATACATGTATCCAGATTCCCTAAGGTTGGGCAAAATACTTTGATTTCTAAAGAAGCATTTTACTACATAATCCTACTTAAATATAGATTTTGCAGGATACACCACTTCCAACCGCAAAATGTATGCATATCAATGACTTCTCAACTTAAACCAAGCCTAGAATTTCTGAATTTAAATTTCTGTTTCCTTATGCAACTACTGTTGTTGTAGTCGAACCATTCAACCAGATGCAAACGAACTTTTTGGCTCAACTCATGTAGATGTACAACAGTGAGGAAATGCCACAGAATAAGAAACACTTGCAGACATGTATGCTCGTAAAAAAGTAGGGACATACCGGGGGAGAAACTCTGTTACAATACAAAGGCGTTGTGGAGATGTAACCGCACCCATGAAGAGCAGTATGTTAGGATGGCGCAGTTTCTTCATAAGGGATACCTTCACATATGAATGATATCAGTGTAATTTAAGTACACCTTTGATATAAAAGTCACAAAATCTGAAGTTAACACAGGCTTCACTACCACTTTCAAGAATCAACTCTAAAGAAACTATATGAAGAACTGTGAAAATGTTATTTTTTATGTCTATCTACATCAATATATTTGGTGACAATGATAATGGTAGGTTTGGCAGGAATCCTGAAACTGAAACGCAATTTGTATTTCATTTGTTTCAAGTTTCTCTGTATTTTGGTTCATAACTTAATAATTACTCTGTAGCTCCAGGATTAACTGCATATCCACTTATTATAAGCTGTACAGAGTTGTAGCTGGGGATGGATATACCTCTTGTCGAAAGGTCAGTATCACTTCTTCTGAATATTCTTGCTTGGAGAAAACTTTAACAGCCACATCCTGCCAGAACATGCCACATAAGATGATGAAGCTAAAACCAAAAATAAACAAAGATTAGTAATTAATGCAACAGTCAAGCAACAGAACATACCGAACCATACCACAAAGCATGATATACTGTCCCACAAGAGCCTGCACATGTAAAAGTTAAACAGAGGACAATTAAAACACATTCAATATAACAGAAAGCAGTACACAGTACACCTCAGTGTGCTTTTAGTAGGATGTCTGTCAATCTTGCACATAAGACCCTTTTTTTTAATATGAACCTCAAGTGAAATTATTCCTATTGTATCACCATAAGAAGGGCGGGCCTGGTGCAAGCGGTAGAGTCTTACCGCCTGTGACCGGAAGGTCCCGGGTTCGAGTCGCGGTCTCCTCGCATTGCACAGGCGAGGGTAAGGCTGACCACTGACACCCTTCCCCAGACCCCACACAGAGCGGGAGCTCTCTGCACTGGGTACGCCCTTTTATCACCATAAGAAAGATCATGCTAAGGATTATTTGGCAAAGTTAAAAAATTCATGGCCTATTAAAAAGAAACGCTGAATATTATATGTATATGTATATAAAAGTTTCAGGAGCACACTGGTTGTCAAAGTTCTCCAGAGGTTCAGACCGTAAGTGTTTGAAGCATGACGAACATACAAACTAGTAGCAGCATCAAAGTTTGAAATTTCAGCCTCATATTACTGCCCCCCCCCAACCACCCAAAAAAAGGCTTTAGGACTAGGTTGTCATCATGAGGACATGGTTTCCACTTCTAATAAATTTAGAAAGAGATCTAGGCCAAACAGGGGCAAAGTGGGTATATTCACATCTCCAACTGTAGTGCCTGTCTAGCCTTTTCCTTTAGAAATAGAGAATATGCAAACAAATTTAGAGATAAAGTAGACACTCGGAAATGAAGAATGTAGACAAGAGCACAATCCAAATGCTGCCAAACAACAATTAATAGACGGCACAAAAGGAAAATGAAGCTGCTTTTATTTGAGGCTAAACAAATATGAAACCATGAATAAAAACTTCCATATGATCAACCAACCATTCACAAAAGAAGAAGCAATTACCTTGACCTATTTGTTCTCCAATGTCGAGGTCTTCCCACAGGATCTCATAATCCAGACAATCCGCTTCATGATCTACTTTGTAGAGAGCACTGCTATTAGTGCTTCCCATGCTGCTTGCACTGCTTGTGCTGTTATTGTTGAAAGAGGACCAGGAACCTGATGCCTCATTTTTGTTAGGTTGGTTGTGTTCAGTGCCTTGGGCATCTGGAGCTATGCTAGCATCAGAAACCTTCTGATGATTCATACCGTTCTCTTGGTCACCATGCAACCACGGCAATATCACATGATTTCTTTCATCAGGTCCCTCATTTTCGCGCCCTTTCCAAGGCCATGATATCCCTTTCTTGTTCAGTAGTGCCTCTGCCTTTGAACTCAAAATCTTGTGCAGACCTACTTTTCCTTCTGATTCATCACTGTTTGGGTTCGTTGATTTCCCAGGGGAGTTCTCTTCTGTAGCAAAGGGACCATGTGGTGCATCGCCTCTTGGTGTATTTGTTCCACTAGATGTTGGCTCTTCCTTAGCACCACGATCTGAGCAATGACTCTCACCACTGCCACCTTCTCGTTCTATGCCATTCTCGTCTGTCCTGACCCGAGAACGAACTTTATTTGTGACCTTGGTAGCCTGTGTTATTATTCTAAAAATCAAAAAGGAATATGCTAGCAACAAATAAGAATACATATTTGATTACTACACAAGTTATGCCAAAGATATCATTCTAGAATTTAGCAAAACAATCATGGTACATCTAGAAATGACCATGCACCCACATTTAAAGTCCATAATAAGTTATAGTTGTTTCAAAATGATGTTAAATTATAGCACACCTGGTAAACGCTATTTGAACTACAAATGGACCATTGAAACAAAAGACATCAATCCGCAGGACAGCATGATATAAGAACAATATTTGTATAAGCTAGAATACTATGAATTTGGGAAATGAAGTAGTGGTACATCTAAAACTTTTGTTTCATATAATGAAAAAACATCTTACCAAATTCGTTATCTTGGAAGCTAAAGTGCTTTGCAGGGGTAGCTGAGGATCAAAAGGACTTTTGTTCAACAAATTGATTCTGCGACTAGTGTTGCTGCAACTCCCATCACAAGATGTCCTAGATGATTCTGACTGGGGCCTTGCAGAGGTTGGAGGCTTACAAAATATTTGCTCCAAAGGGCGGGAATCACTTGAAACACAAATGATACCCACCAGGCTGCCATCCTCATCGTAGAAAGGTGTGTTGGTGGCAAGAGCTGAAAATCTATCTCCTTGCCTGTTCTTAACTGGAAACTTCCCGGTCCAACTTTCACCCATAGAAATACGTCGGAAGATGCCATTTACAGAATTGTGGTCACGGGAATCAACCAGAAGCATTAGGGCCTCCTGACCAAGGGCTTCCGATGCAGGATAGCCAAACAGATTCTCCGCAGACTGATTCCTACATAATAAGTACATGACAAAATATGGTGAAAAAGGAAGCACAAACAAAAACAAAATGGGATCAAGAACACTTGTGAAGAACCTATTATTGTGCTTATGTAGCAAAAAGCATACACACTTAAAGGGCGTACCCAGTGCAGAGAGCTCCCGCTCTGTGCGGGGTCTGGGGAAGGGTGTCAGTGGCAAGCCTTACCCTCGCCTGTGCAATGCGAGGAGACCGCGACTCGAACCCGGGACCTTCCGGTCACAGGCAGTAAGACTCTACCGCTTGCACCAGGCCCGCCCTTCAAAAAGCATACACACTTATCAAACCAAAATGTTTATCTGATTAAAGGGTAAAGAAGTAGCATTTCAAGATTTAAAAATAACAAATGGACTGTTATGACGCAAAGTGCATATTCTGTCAATACTTACATAAGAAATGCAACTCAAAACGAATTTTGATCTTGTAGGGAGCTCCTGGTGCATTTTGTGACTCAATGTTGGCCCTCAAGCAACCAACAACTACAGAGGAAGTGCCTTATCATGTTATTGTAATTATACCAATATGTTCAATCATGTAGAAGTAGAACTTCAGGGTACAAGCTCATCACCAGAACCAGCTAAAGTCTAGGCATCCCATCCAGCATTTCATTACTGTGACTTCGCACAGATAATTTACGGCACATCCTTACAGAGCTAGGGTTCTACAGAATGCCAACAGTGTAACAGATTGTCATTTGCACTATCCCACTGCAACTTCTATCACATGTTATTGATAGATCAAAATGACACACAAGAATTGTTCAAGAGTCTAGGATTGCTATTGCAAGAGCTTCAAATACATTTCGTTTTGGTCACAACTCGTATATGCGGTCACTTGCTCCATTGCAGGCACAAGAATCAACATATCTAATCAACATGACCACTACTGCATTTCCTTGAATGTTTGTCAAGCTCTCAAGTTGCAGGCAAGCAAATCAAAAAACGGTAAAGCAGCAGAAATCTAACCAGTATATGATCCTCCCGTCGAGGTCAAGAATGTGGACGGACTGCCCCAGTGACTGCAGCACCCTGGAGTACTGCCTCTCCGGCAGCCTAGCGCTGGTGCTAGCGTCTCCAGCGCCCGTGGCGCGGCCCTCCCGCTGCAAAGGCGACGAGTGCGGGAAAGACGCCGACCCACGGGCCCACGCACGCTGTCCGCCCTCAAAAGCCCCGGACAGCCGCCTACCTGGCGCCCCCGCCTTCCCCTTGGCCGGCGGTGGCGGCAGCACCGGCACGCCGCGCCGCGGCGAGACGGATTGCGAGCGCCGCCGCTCCCCGGCGCCGGGTATTAGCTTGGACATCTCCTGCTTGAGCTGCGCCTGCCCAACCTCCAGCTCCCGGATCTTCTTCAGGAGTTCCTCCCCGCTGGAGTCCATCCCCGCCGCGGCAGAGGCCGGCTTCCTCAACACCACCGAGGCCGCCTCGACCTCAGACCACCGGCATCACCGACTTCCACGAGCGCCCTAGAGAGCTGACGCCGCCGCCGCGTCCCCTCTCGCCTTCTCAGGGACGGCCCCTACGAGCTCGAAAGGCCGCTCCTTTCTCCGCTCCAGCCTCCAGAGGCAGATTCGACGCAAACGGAGCAAAAACTTCAAGCCTTCCGGTTCTCTGAGATCTCCAGCAGCGATTTCCCGGACAAAAACCGGCTGAAAATACGATCTTTTCTGGGGAGCAGTTCTTGGCCTGTACGTGGAAGAGGAGCAAATTGCTGTGGAATCTGTCTCTCTCACAAGTCACACACGCATCCAGATGGAGATTGAATAAAATAATACTAGTAATAATAATGGGTAGAATAAACGATAGAGAGAGAGAAAAAAAATGTACTTTCTCCATAAAAAAAACGCAATTGCACCTGGTGTGTTTTTTTTTTTTGGCGGAGGGAGTACGCCGGGAAACGGTGACTTGGTGAGGTCTTGAGTGTTCCCCTCTTGTGATTGGTGAGCTTGGCAATAAAAAAAGTGCCGGGGCTGCTTGCTGGCTTCCTAGTGGCATTTTAAGCATCTGGTCTTTAAGTTTTTGTTTGATATTTTGGAGCCTTCCCTCAAAATATTTATGCTTATTTTCCTGTGTCTGCAATTTTCAATTTCTTTTTCTATATTTCCTTGGATGTTGTGTTGATCCACACAGGGGCTGTCCCTGTCCCTATCCATCTACCTTGCTGACAGTGCCAACCTGTGTAGTCATCCTGATGGCGCTATTTTTGGCCTCTACACTCGCCACACTTAGGCCATGTTTAGTTCACCTAAATTTGGGCCGTCGAAAATACTGTAGCTACATTGTGCAATCGTTGACTAATTAGGCTCAAAACGTTCGTCTCGCAAAGTACAACCAAACTGTGTAATTAGTTTTTGATTTCGTCAACATTTAGTACTCCATACATGTACCGCAAATTTGATGTGACGAGAATCTTATTTTTACATAGTGTCAAAGTTGGGAATTTATGAGGAACTAAACACACCCTTAAAATGATCTATGAAAAGTTGTGGCTGCCTTAGTTATTTCACCAACTAAATGCGTAACTTTTTATGTGGCGTCGTTTAAGCCTCGGCGTAGCATCCTGTAGCGAGGAACAAACACGCCATATATGTGTTTTATCAGCCTGTTCGCTCGTTGGTTTCAGTCAGGGCTTATCAGCCAGCCAACAGTGTTTTTCTCTCACAATAAACCAGCATCAGTCGAACTTATCAGCCCAGAAACCAACCAACGAGCAGTGCGTATATCATCGGTTTGCACCGCTAAAATAACCTGAAATTCCATAGATAATCATGAATGGATTTTACTCGGACGTCATATAGAGCAGTACTGATATTTCTGTCGACAAAATTGCGCCTACTCTGTGAATCTGTCCTGGCTAAAATAGTCAAGCGTCACGTCCAGGTACAATGAACTGTTCTCCAAGCCATTTTATTTTTCTCAATCCAGATAAACATCCAGCAGTAACAGTTTAGACAAAAAGAACAACATTTTTCCGGAAATAGTCAATCCTTGGACCAATCTCTTTCAGCTGTCAAGTTTGGTTTGGCATGGTTTCCCAATATTGTCCTCCTCGCACAACCGCATATTCTCTCCAAAAACGTTGGATCACAAGTAATCATTAGCTTTGCATCCATGTGAAGCAAACCCTTTCTTGGTAGTGTTTTGCTCCCGGACGCAATTCTTTCTTGTGCTGCGCATCCCATCCATGAAAACTTTTGAGGTTCAACTGTCTGGATCTGGATACTGTGTTTCAGCACTTAAACTTGTCATATTCTCGTAAACAGATATCAAGTGAAAAGAAAAGGATGTTCTTCAACTAGTTTGAACGACTGGCTGCACTATTTGGAACTTGGTTAACTGAGTTTTTTTTTAAGTTCGTCGAATAAAATCATGATAGTTTTCATTAGATTTTCATTTCCATCAAAAGCGTTCTACAAAAAATTTTATACTTGTCACAATCTGCATACATATATGTGAAAAAAATAGTAACACTCAAGTTTTGAATAACGAAATAAATAAATGAATTGTATTTGTAAACATATAATTAAGTAGCACACAGATAGACAGGCTACGATCACCCCTTACTCAATTAATCAAATACATACATCAGCTTTTTCTTTAGAAAGATACATAAACAAACTAGCAAAAAGGACATTTGCAGATCGCAATTGCATGCCCAACCAATTGGGCACCTGGACCACTGTTCCCTTTTCTTTTTCTCTGGCCTGGATTGTCACACAGAAAATGATATTCTTTTTGTATTTCTTTGACCCTGCCCTCGAGCATGATGTCATTTCAATGACTTAATAATATCCAAACCGGTGAAGGAAAAGACAATTCTCAGAACTCCAGCTCCAATTTTACCCATTTGCATGGCTCACAAATCCCCCATGTAAAGTATCCATCTCCAAGTCCAATTATGCAGGATGAAACATCAGATATAGGCCACAGCTGCAAATCTGATTCAGCAGAAAACACATTGCACTGCTCTTCACCACTCTTTTCCAGCCTTTACAGCCTCTTGAGCTGTTGCCACACAGAAAGGGCCACAGACCACAAGCTGCTCATGGATGAGAAGATGCTCTTTGCATCTTCAGCAAAGCTGGCATCTCTCAAAGCAGCAAAGCCATCACGAGCCAAAGGGAGAAAGCGATGGATGTGTCACCATCCATGGGCAAGTGTAGCTTTCATCAAACAAACCGAAAGAGAGATACAAGGCCTTAAGGGCATCACTGACCAAAGGCGTGACAAATCGCCATCCCAAGGTAAGGAGCTTTTCTTTGCAATTAAGGAAGAGAAGCACGGGTCCGAGGTCGGCAGTCATGGAGCTCCTATTGTGAAGAAAGTGCACTTTTATCTTGATGAAAGGAGTTGTAAGGCAGGCTGACAATTTTACAACATTACATTCATGGCTAAAACGGCCTAAAACACTGGGATTTAATAGAGCGACCTATTCCCTGAGCCTATGATACACTACGATCTTCTGAACAAAGGTGAATATAAAAACTAGAGTAAAGCTTGTGACAGAACCAACCCTACCAGGGACAACGAGATGAGATCTAGGGGCTACAACTGCAGCGCCTGTAACCTCGGTACCAGATTGGACGGGTTTGCATGTTGCACTCGCTCATTGCGGAGGAGGAGGATGTTAATGGTGCCAGACTCTCTCAACCAGGCAGCCACCAAAGCACTGGGTGACACAAACCTTCCGATGTTGAAGCGCTCGACCTGAAATGGCGCTCCAATTGAAAGGAGCAATGCTTCAATGACACGACGGAGAGTGCTTGAACCAGCTATCTTGCTATGCTTTCCCCAACCTGTCAGAATGCTGCAGAGACAAAAAAAAACATGGTGTCGGTTCAGGCAAAGCCAAGAGATTCTATCCTACAGCCAGTGGCGAAGCTAGAGCAAATTGAAGGGTGATGCACTTGCCTTGTGGGTGCATATAATTCTATTAGGGAGGGTGCATATATGGTGAAATTTAAGCCAAAACTACTGTTTTTTCAAATTTTGGGTGGTGCATTTGCACCCCATACATATAGTGTACCTTCGCCCCAGCCTACAGTTCCAGATTTGCACAATGAAGGATCAAGTACCTTAAAAATTCAGGCATAGCTCGACCTTCAAAGACAATAGACCGCACATTCAGGAGCCATGCATGTACCATTGCTTGAGCTGCACCACATGACATAAGGTGCAGGTCCAAGCAGAAATCACCCCATGTGTTCTCCCAAACACGACGGTTTACCCCTTCAAGCACAACTTGCTGAGCTCCTTGCCTCTGAAAATGGCCAGGAACAGAAATCTAATTACTTATTTGGAAAAAGTTTAGGTAACTAATGCAACAAAAAGGGTGGAAGACTGAAAGGTGACAAATAATTGAAGTTTTTAAAAAAATGAAATAGAATAGTCTTCTTTCTAAAATATAATTTATCAGTGCAAAATAGGATTATCACAAAAAAATTAGTGAACTCGTAATCCTAATAAACAATAACTGCACTTGAATCCGAGTATACACTGAGTAAACCTACCTGGCCAAAATGCCATAGCACATCAGTAAGAGCATTATAAAAGGCAGAAGATGTTGGAGAATCCATGCGGCCCAGCTGATTAAAGAGGGACCGTGCTTGAGACCAAGCTTCTCGATGGCCCATCAAAAGCCCATATGCAACCCCATAGACAGAGTTATCAAACAAGCGAAGCTGTTCCAGTAAAAGGGCTGCATCTTCAAAACTATTACAGCGACTGCAAGAACAAGAACAAGAACAAGAACGAAGCAAATAGTTAGAACCCACACAGAACTTAAAGAGGCACACTTACATAAATGTGATTTCTAGATAAATTTGCAGTGTCGTCTTTCACTTCTGTGCTATTTGTTTTGAATAACACTAGGACACATTGAATATGGCTTTTTTCTAGTACAAAAAAAGATAGGTTGTAGAATATAGAGTAATCTTGTGTATTCATGAAATACATGAAAGCTGAAGGTTAACCAGTGTAAACATAAATCCCATATTGAAGTTATCTAGTTCAAGTTGTTAAAAACAGTTTAATGTCCAGGTTAACACAGTGGCAATTCTTGAATTTCCGACTGATACAGTGCATGAAAGTGTATTTTTTTAGAGACACTGGCTCAGTACAAAGAATTAGAACAACATTAGCATTTGAGGGCTCCAATGAAACGATGAACATGTACCTGCAAGCATTAAGGATCGCAGAAAATGTTACAACATTTGGCCGTACACCCTGCTGGACCATCTTCTGAAACAATTCCAGAATGAAAAATAATTCCTGTGACCTCCTCATCCTAACATCAGTGGCAGAGCGCCCTCCTCTTGCCACTGGATTAGTGGCCCTTACAATCTGACCGCCATAAACCCCAACAATTCCCATGTGCCCAATATCAGGATCCTCCTCAGTAAGAATCTTCGACTTGCCAAATGCATCAATAATTGTGTTGTAGGTTACAACATTTGGCTTGATACCCATCTTCATCATCTCATCAAGCAAAGACAAAGCACACTCAACCAAACCATTCTTGGCCAATGTATCAATAAAAGAGCTGAACAGAACAACGTCTGCTTTTAGACCAGACTCCTTAAAATCCAAATAGACATTAAATGCATCTCCATGCATTCCTGCCTTTGAATAGATATCTATCAAAGTTGAGTATGTCAGCACACTAGGAGCTACACCTTGTGCCCGCATATCTTGAACAAGGAAAGCAACCATGTCCAAGCGTCCTTGCTTTCCGTAGCCATTAATCAAGGAATTGTAAGTAACAGTGTCCTTCTCAATACCCAAATTCTCCATCTCTTCACACACAGTAGCGATTTCATCATACTTCCCTGTCTTCACATATATGGCCAGTAAGGTGTTGTAGCAAACTCGGTCCAGTTGAATTCCCAAAGACTTCATCTTTTCACGCAACTTGAGTGCCTCATCATACTTCTCCAGTTTGGAGAATCCATCCATAAGCGTGCTATATGTAACAACATTTGGCTTGATGTTGTTTGCTTCCATATCCAATACAACTTGCATAGCCAGCTCCATGTTGCCACACTTGCAAATAGCATCGACAAATGTATTGTAAGTGTAAATGTCACGCCCACTACCAAGATGGATCATTTCATCAAAGACAGTGTGAGCATCTTCCAAATGCCCAGCCCGACTACATGCAGCAAGAAGTGAATTAAACGTTTTACGGTCTGGACAGAGCCCATCCTGCAGCATCTGACGAAAATACCCGAGTGTGAACCTAAGGTCAACACCCCCCTTTCCACATGCATCAATCACTGCATTGTATGATACCGTCGTAGGCCGCAAGCCTGCACCTTTCATCGACTCAAGCACCCCCATGGCTTCAGTTGCAAGCCCGCTCCTGGCATAAGCTGAGATGAGCGCAGAGTGCGCAAACACCGTGTTGCCATAGCCCCCTGCAATGCCACTATCAAAAGCCCTCCTGGCGAGGTCTGGCCGGCCCATCTTGCCAAGTGCACCAATGGCGGCAGTCAGAAGTTTTCCCTTGTCAACAGCACCACCCCCAACTAAGGGTAGTGCGGCATAGAACACCCCGAACGCACGGAGTGCGGATTTATCCCTATCGCCGAGCTCCCGGAGAACCTGGCAGTAGTCCTCAGGACCAAGTAACTCGCCCCGGAAGGACGTGAGGGCCGAACCAAGCCCTCGCCTATCTTCAGGCGCGACGCGGAGCAGCTTCTCAACACAGCGACCCGCGGCGGCCGAGGACACGCGCCCGCGGTCCTGCGCGCCCCCGCCGCCGCCGCCGCGGGTGCGCTTGGAGATGGTCTTGGTGGTGCGCGCGCGGCGGAACTCCGGGCCGAGCGCGGCCGCCGCCGCCGCGGCGCGCTGGGGCTGCTGCGCCCACGGCGCGCCGGGGCCGACGAAGATGGGGCCGTGCGCGGGCGGGCACGCCGCGGAGGAGGAGGCGGCCGGGGAAGCCGCCGCGAGGAGGTGCGGCGGGCACAGCGCCGCGGCTGCGGCCGACGCCGAGGCCGGCGGCGCGGCGGACGCGTGCAGGCGCGCGGTGGCCGTGGCCGTGACCGCCGCCGCCGCCGCCGAGTGGTGGTGGTGGTGGTGGTGCGCCGCGTGGTGCGATGCCGCGTGCGCCTGCGACGGCGTGAAGTGCGTCGGCATCCCGGCGGCAGCCGCAGCAGTAGCTTCCCAGCAGAGCACGCAACCACGCGAGAATCACCTCCTCCCAAAACGGCGCGCCCTTCTCCGCAAACCCGATCAAAATCCTCCCACGAAATTCTTCCTCCACGAGGCGCCGCCTGCACAACCCCTGATCTTCGCCCACTAAATCCTAACCCAGCCGAATCAGCCTAGAGATACACCGGAATCGAGTCTCCGGGTGCTCGCCCGGCGGCACGATACTACTAGCCAAACAGAGCACCAGAAAGGCGGGATTTTGAGGACTATACCAGGGTCATTTTGCTGCGGTGCAGCGGCAGGGGCGATGATGAGGGGGCCATCATGCTGGTTGGGCGATCGATTTGATGATAAGATGAGGGTAGGGAAGCGAAGCGAGGAAGGAAAGAGATAATAAGACGGCAAGAGAAAAAAAAAAAGCGAACAAAAATTTGGACTTTTGCGTGGGCCCCGCAGTCACCTCGCAGGATTTCCTCCGCGGGCTACCGCGTTTCGTACAAATTTTTCCCTGAGCTGAGCTACTGACATGTAGGTCCCATAGTTCTATGGCCCACCGGCAGTCGTTGAGGTTGCTATGCGCCGCGTGGTTCGAGGAAGCGCTCTGCTTCGGCGACGCAGGCGAAACGTGAGCATGACATGTGGGGCCGGAGGGCAGCGCAGCTGAGCTGGCGCGTTTCGTGGCAGAGGATTGAGTAGCCGCCGAGGTGGCTGCTGAGCTGGCGAACCTTTACGGGCAGTCGTTGATTGCCTGCACTTTTCTTTCCTCCATTTAGGGCGGTTTGGTCTTGTTTGGGCAAATTCCGTATGAACTGGTACAAACTCCGTCTTGGAATTTGTTCATATTTCTTGGCTGGGTTATCTTGTTTGGGCAAATTCCGTATGAACTGGTACAAACTCCGTCTTGGAATTTGTTCATATTTCTTGGCTGGGTTATTTAATTGCAAATGGTGTGGTGTTTGGATACTGCATCTCCAAAGGTTGACGCCAAATTTATTGCTCCAAAAAGAGAAGAAAGAGTTAGTGAACGTGAAGAATGCAAATGGTTGGGTGTAATTTTCAAAACCTTCTAGGTGTAATTTTCAAAGGGTGCCTCTTTGTGCTTCTATGGCATTGACAAGGTTAAGAAGGCTATGAGACAGCCTAGCAGGATTATAAGGTGGAAACATGAAAATTTGATGCTAGATCAGTCTTTAAAGATATCAGAATTTTTGTTGTGTTTGATTTGGTCTTCTATGAGATGTTTGCAACTAAAGCAATAAACATTATTTCTTTTTGTAGACCATTGATACATATGTTCAACTTTTTTTTAGATAAAGATTTAGATAACTAATCTTTCAAACATGAATCTATATGTGTACATTATTTCTTTCCTACTTGCACAAATGCAGTGTAAAACGCAGTGAGTCATAGGTTTGCTTTTTCTTTTCTTTTTTATGTAAGGTCTATCATATTTCAGTTTGTCTAAAGACAAAGTCAACACCTTCATACCGCATAATGGAAACAGTTAGCCATAATCCTTGGCTGCATGCACTTCTTCATAGGTGCAGATGTTGGAACGCTTTTTTTCCTTTATCCAAAAAAGTTAGCCATAATCCTAGAGTACTTTCACTCTTTTTAAAAGGTAAAGATAAAAAACTTATCCTCCAGTTTTTTTTCCTAAAGAATCATCCAAGGTATATAGTTCAGGTTTGCTTGGTTTTATTTTAATATGATAATATGAGTTACTATATTTTTGTAAACCTGTTTAAATATAAACAAGACCATAAAGGGTATGTTCATCGTGCACCAATTTTGTTTTTAAAATTTTCATACAATATTACTACGACGAGTTTATATCATGGTTGTTTTATATTGCGACGAACCTGATAACAATACTAGATCATAGGCCTTTTGTTCTATTTTGTTGAAAGCAAAAAAAAAATTGTCCAGTCACTAGCTCTTACAAGGTTAATGTAAAAGAAAACGAGTATACTGCTCTCACATCTGAAGAACCTAAGAACATGATAAATAATTATTTACTCCCTTTGCCCATAAATATAGGGATTTTAAGGACAAAATTAACAAAGGGGGGAAATTCGTTCATTCCGTCCGTTAAAGTAGTTATGGCAGCTCCTAATTGGATACTTACATTGGTGTCCAACAATTGAATACAAAAAAAATCTTACATGTTGTGGACGAAGTGATTTTATCTTCACCTTATAAATGGAGAAAATTTTCCTGCACTAAACTAAACAAATGTCCACAACCGAATTAGTGTGTTGAGCGCATGTCCAGCAAGAAAATAAGTTTCACTTTGTTTTACGAATTGAATTCAAATTTTTTTGGAAACCCTCTAAGATTATGGGATGCATTGCCTCTCACTGCATCTTTATGGGTACTCACATAAAAACCATAGGAAAGGTAAATGTGATATTATCTACAACTTCATTTTTACCCCACGTTTTATATCGCTTAATCCTTCTGAGACAATTTTTGTTTTTCTAATGATTGGACAAAAATATTGCAATAGCTGTCTCACAAGGTGGCTTGGAGGCTACTAGTAGTTAGCTATATGAGTATGTCTGTGGCAGAACCGTCCAGTTTAACCTAATCCCAAGTGCACTTGTTAGCCATTTGGCACTAAGTGCCCAAAAGACCAAGTCAAACCTGGTAGTCTGTCGAGACCAGCTGAGGGAGATCTCAAAAAATCCACGTTTTCACCAGGAACACAAATGAGTAGACAAAACATCAAAACCATTTCTTTCATTACATGATTACATAATTACAACATCGGAGTTATTATTACAAAACAAGTGTCAATAAAGCAGCGGAAGATAAGTACTTTTTATAAAAGAAGCGGAAGTAAACAGTTTTCAACCTAATATCTAGTGTAAAAAATACAAGTATAAAAACTTCTACGATTGCAACGGAAAAGGATGTCCTCGCTGAGCCCATCAGGAGGTATCCACACACCAAGTTAGCTCTGGCTTCCGCTTGTTACCTGCAACGGGGGGAATAAAATCCTGAGTACTGAAGTGTACTCAACAAGACTTACCCGTCAAATATGGGAGTAGTCTCTCGACTCTCAAAGGATATGCAAGGGGCTTTTGGTTTGCTAGTTCTTTTATATTTGCAAAAACTTACTAGAGGTAAGTCCTTATATTTAAGTTTTAGCAGTCAAGTGCAGGTTCAGTACTTAACCATTCTAAGTTTGCACCTAAAATTACTTTCAAGCATGTGGTAAGCAATCAAAATTTTATCCATCATCGTCACCAACTCCATCATCCTCCATTTTCAAGTTGCATTAACTACGATGATAGGCAGTGGCAAAGTGGTATCCATATCCGAGGAGCGACGACGATTGCAATCGATTTACATCTAGCTGGGCAAACCCAAACATACGCCCATACTTACCCCACCAGGTTCGCATTAGGCTACCGTTCCCTACCCTTGTACCAAGGTCCAGTACCGACCCAGTCTACCCCTAGGAACCCGACCCACCGGCCATGCATTGCAAGCTCAAACGCGTGGTTACTGCCGAGGTTTCCACCTCCTGACTACTACCCGAGGGACCGACGTAGCGGCTGACAAACCCCATGGGCTCCCTTAGCACAGGAGAGGTAATAGGTTTCGTGGTCATCCGAGACCTTCCTATGTGTTGGTACTTTCAAACTTCACCAAACAAGCTAACATCGAACGGTCCTCAATCGACACAGGCAGAACTAACCAAGTAACCAGGCCAAGCCCCGTTGTCTCTCAACACCAAGTCCCGCCCGATCTCAATTTATTATCCTTCTAAGTTCCATATTTTTAGGTAAGAAGTGTGGAACCTATTATGAGCAACGACACGTTGCTCACATCTACCGAGTCCCTAAGCAATAGCAGCAATATGTGCCTATTTGCTAGTATGACTCATAGGTCAGGACCTTTATGCAGGTAGGTGTCAATCAATTCCTACACTTAATGCACATTAAACAGAAAAATGATTAAAACATAGGTTATGCACCGGGGCTTGCCTTGGGATAACTTCTATAATAAAAAGTTAGTGTCTTCATCATCTTTAGGATTGATATTCCATCACACCATCTTCAGATTTCCAATCATCCTTCAATTGATCTGTTGATCCATCATCATACCTAAATGATATGCATTGATGCAAATGAATGCACAAAATGATAGATGCATAAATAAGGATGTTTTATAAGGGTGAAAAGGAAGTACTACGTTGTCGAGGCTAACGAGGATATGAATCATACTAAAACCCAACTCTCATTCTTTCCGAAAGGACTCATAATGAATTGGTTCCAAGTGTATAGAGTAGGATGAATTAAATAGTTAAAGTACATTAGGTTCAAGTTTACTTCAATTTACTATAGGATGTAGTTTTCATTACCTTGTCTTATAGTTACATCATGAGGTGAATGACTTAAGGTAGTTTGAGTTTAGTAGTAATAACTAGTATGAAGTTACACCATTCTAGTGCTTGAGGCTATTATTACATGGATGTCATCACAAGAACAAGAAATCTATACTAACATATACTAGTATGTTTAGAAATTTGGAAGTGACTTCAAGTTGGTATTTGCTACACTAACTTCACTATTACTAGCAAATATATCAATATATTATAGATTATAGAATATACTTATAATCCTAGCGTTCATGAGGATGATTAAGCTACCATGATTATGCACACATAAGCATATTAATTGCTTTTACTTAATTTTAATATTTAGTTGGTAATTAACATGTGACACATGATAATTCTACCCTTCAACATTTTGTGTAACACTATAGTGATATTAAGTGTTCACTGGTTACTACAACAGTACTACTATAGCTAGGTCACACATTTTCTATTTTTACTTTCCTTTAATTTCCTTAACTATTTATAAGGCAATTAACACACATTAACACATGATAAACTATAACTCCGTCATACAGCGTCTAATGGTCATGAAATTTTACAAGTCATACTCAGTATGGGTAAGCTACCATAAAAATTT